TGCTGATTCGAGGCACTTGCGTCTGCGGAAATTAGTTTCTTTGATCACTAATTGGGCGTCTCTGAATTTCATGAGATGATTGGTGGAATTTCGGTGTTGTACACAGGCGTTGTTCAAGTTATCGTTCCTACATGCGTAAATGTGTTCATTGAGGCGGGTGTCGAGGTTTCTTGCTGTTTCACCTACGTAAATCTTGTCACAGCCTCCACAGGGTATAGTGTAAACTCCTGCATTGACTGGTTCTTGGTGCTTGGATTTTGTCCTGGTTAGATCCTTTATTGAAGTGCTAGAAGCGATGTCGACTCTGGTGTTAGCTTGTGAAAGTACTTTTGAGACGTTCAGTGCAACCTGGCTGTTGGGAAGAATTATAACTTTGTTGGGAGTGGTGTTGATACGTGGAGAATTAATGATCTGAAGAGCTCTTTTCTTGCAGTCTTTGATGAAAAAAGAAGGAAAATGTAACTCACTGAATGTTTGGTGAATGTATGTACATTCCTCGTCAAGAAACTCAGGACTACTAATTCGGTATGCTCTTAGGAAAAACCCGATGATGATGCCTCTTTTGGTCTTGGTATCTTGACTGTGTGAGATCATTTTTATTGGTGGGTTTCCAATAAACTTGAAATCTTAGGTTGTTGTCTACTTTGTGAATGAGGACGTTTACACTAGAAGAAGAGTCCAATGACAAGCTACCTTTCCTCGACGTCCTCATTCACAAAGTAGACAACAACCTAAGATTTCAAGTTTATCGGAAACCCACCAATAAAAATGATCTCACACACTTCTATTCCAGTCAAGATACCAAGACCAAAAGAGGCATCATCATCGGGTTTTTCCTAAGAGCATACCGAATTTGTAGTATATCTGGAGTATATCTGGAGAGAGTTCCGGGGGTCAACGCCCCCGCGGCCCGGTCTGTGACCAGGCCTCCTTAGGTCAGTGTCCCAGGATGCGACCCACACCAGTCGACTAACACGCAGGTACTCATTTTACTGATGGGGAACATAGACAACAGGTGGAAAGAAACACGTCCAATGTTTCTACTCTGGCTGGGAATCGAACCCAGGCCCTCACCGTGTGAAGCGAGAGCGTTAACCACCAGGCCACCAGAGCCTGAGTTTCTTGACGAGGAATGTACATACATTCACCAAACATTCACTGAGTTGGATATAAATTGTATAAAATACCGACACAATGGAAATATAAACACATATGCAGTATAATGTGATCCTTTATTGACTACGTTTCACCCACTCGGTGGGCTTTTTCAAGTCACAAACAGATCTGTTTGTGACTTGAAAAAGCCCACTGAGTGGGTGAAACATAGTCAATAAAGGATCACATTATACTGCATATGCGTTTATATTTCCATTCACTGAGTTACATTTTCCTTCTTTTTTCATCAAAGACTGCAAGAAAAGAGCTCTCCAGATTATTAATTCTCCACGCATCAACACCACTCCCAACAAAGTTATATTTCTTCCCAACAGCCAGGTTGCACTAAATGTCTCAAAAGTACTTTCACAAGCTAACACCAGTCACCATCGCTTCTAGCACTTCAATAAAGGATCTAACCAGGACAAAATCCAAGCACCACGAACCAGTCAATGCAGGAGTTTACACTATACCCTGTGGAGGCTGTGACAAGATCTACATAGGTGAAACAGCAAGAACCCTCGACACCCGCCTCAATGAACACATTTATGCATGTAGGAACGATAACTTGAACAACGCCTGTGTACAACACCGAAATTCCACCAATCATCTCATGAAATTTAGAGACGCCCAATTAGTGATTAAAGAAACTAATTTCCGCAGACGCAAGTGCCTCGAATCAGCACCGATCACCGTTTCGAATACAATTAAACAAAACAACGGCAGCTTCACCATCTCCGAAGTCTTAGCAAGAATCCTCCTGAAAACAGTAAACCCTGCCATCACATAGTCTCTCCTGTTATACTACACAAGGCACGTTACAGAGAGTGAACACTGAAACTATCTGCCTCTTTCCAGTCTATATTTGTCCAACCTATTTTTATGTTACCCAAGTAATAGCTTTTACTCATGTACGAATTAATTGCTCTACCATATTGTATTATTTTTGTCACTACTACTACTACTACTACCACTAGTGAACATCGATATGGTACCTCACTAATATTGCACCTCACTCTGAGCCTTTATATACCCTCTGTATCCATGTATTGTTTGTAATGGCTTGATAAAGCTCCTGGAGAGCGAAACGTTGCCACAATAAAATGTCACATTAGTTGCACTTGTGTCCTTTTACTTTATATATTGTCGGTAATTCTACCAACTTTATTACAGCTTAGATCTAGGTGAAATACCGGAGGCCTTAAAGAGTGCAGACATAGCTCCTTTGCATAAAGGAGGAAGAGCACTAGCTACAGATTACCGACCAGTAACCCTAACTTTTCACACCATAAAAATCTTCGAAAGAGTGATGAGATGGCAGATGCTGTTTCTCATCCTCATAGCAGATATAGATAAAAACACCCGTCACACTTTGGTATCATCATCTGCAAATGACACGAAAATAAGCATGAAAGTCACTACGGTAGAGGACACTGAAAAATTACAGGAAGACAAAAGCAGGGTTTTCCAGTGGGTGGTGGAGAACAACATGACATTTAGTGGTGATAAGTTCAGTTGCTTAGGTGTGGAAAGAATGAAGAACTCAAAAGAAACACTACATACAAAACTCAAGAGGTTCACCAAATGGAACAAAAGGAACACGTAAAAGACCTGGGAATAATTATGTCAGCTGACCTTTCTTTTAAAGACCATAACAAAACGAAGATCACGACAGCCAGGAAGATGATGGGGTGGGTATTGAGAACTTTTATAAGAACATAAGAAAGGAGGAACACTGTAGCAGGGCTGTTGGCCCATACTAGGCAGGTCCCTCACAATCCATCCCACTAACAAAACATTTGCCCGCCCCAATTTTCAATTCCACCCAAGAAATAAGCTCTGATATAACTATCCACTCATGTGCAAGTCCCACTCAAATCAAACCCCTCTCACTCATGTATTTATCCAACCTAAATTTGAAATTACCCAAGGTTTTAGCCTCAATAACTGTTCCACTCAACTACCCTATTTCCAAACCAATATTTTCCTATATCCTTTCTAAATCTAAACTTGTCTAATTTGAATCCATTACTGCGGATTCTCTCTTGGAGAGATAACCTCAAGACCCTATTTATATCCCCTTCATTAATACCCATCTTCCACTTATACTCTTCAATCATGTCTCCCCTCATTCTTCGTCTAACAAGTGAATGTAATTTAAGGGTCTTCAATCTTTCTTCGTAAGGAAGATTTCTAATGCTATGTATTAATTTAGTCATTCTATGCTGAATGTTTTCTAACAAATTTATGTCCATTCTGTAATATGGAGACCAGAACTGAGCTGCATAATCTAGGTGAGGCCTTATTAATGATGTATAAAGCTGTAATATAACCGCTGAACTTCTGTTGCTTACACTTCTTGATATAAATTCCAGTAATCTATTTGCCTTATTATGTACGCTTAGGCATTGCTGTCTTGGTTTAAGGTTGTTGCTTATCATAACCCCCAGGTCCTTTTTGCAATCTGTATGGCTAAGTTCTACATTATTTAACTTATAAGTGCTAGGGTTATGGACATTCCCGAGCTTCAGAACCTTGCATTTATCTACATTGAACTGCATCTGCCACTTTTCTGACCAGGTACTGAGTTTGTCTAAATCTTCCTGAAGTTCCCTGATATCTATATTTGAATCAATTATCCTACCTATCTTTGTGTCATCGGCGAATTTGCTCATTTCACTAGTAATTCCCTCATCAAGATCATTGATATATATATTATAAACAACAATGGGCCAAGTCTGATCCCTGTGGAACGCCACTTGTTACAGATCCCCACTCGGATTTAACCCCATTTATGGACAAGCAAAAGGTGTGTTTAACCAACAGTGGAAGGACGATTTTGCTTTTTACTGTTAAAGGTGAAAAGACTGTGCCTTATCTCTCATAACAACCATAAAAAATTACAACTGAACTTCCTGAATCAGAACTGTGAAAAAATAAGATAAGATTTTAGAAATCTAATATAGTCACTAAACAAAATAGCCTACTATATACAGCCTCTCCTCACTTAGTGGCATACTCATTTATCAGTGACTCGGCCTTATGACAGGCTCTCTGACCACTATGTATATCTAAATAATATATATATTAGAGCTGATTTCCTCTATTCTGTTTATTACAATATATACACTACTGTATAAACATTTAAAAATATACTAAAAACGTTATAAATGGTGCAAAGGTGACATTAAAACAATATCAAAGATGGATGACACAAACCCATTACCATTATTGTATGCTCCTTGCTTAGCGATGAATTCGTTTACCGACGTGATCTTAGGAACGGAACTCCATTGTTAAGTGAGGGGAGGCTGTAGTTGTATTTTTTATTATTTATAAATAAAATTTTAAAATATTTTTTATGACTTAACATTAAAAGATGTATGAAAAGTATTATATGTGGCTCTTCTTATCGAAGAATTTGTCCATCCTTGGTATAGATATTTCATTAATACTAATTCTGAATGCAAATATTTGAGCTCATCATGAATAAGTTTTTTCCAACAAACTGGCAGTATCCCACCAAGGGAGGGTGATCTGAAAAGATAAGCAAAAGTTTTTTTCTTTTACATTTAGTAATACAGGAGAAGGAGTTACAAGCCCTTTGCTCCTAGCATTTTAGTTGCCTCTTACAACACGCTTAGCTTATGGAAGAAGAATTCTTTTCCACTTCCCTGTAAAATAAATTGCAAGTACAGTACTCTAAATTGGGAAGAGCAGACTCATGAATGGCAAGGTATTATTGCATTTATCCACCATATAAAACTCAATAAATATTCCCCACTATTCTGAATGTCAGTATAATAATAAAGAAGCAACCTCATGTTGTATTAATTTTGTTTCAGGAAGCCCACAGTATGGTTCACAATGCCAACCTGCGAGCTGCCAGTGCAGAAAGATCACTACGGGAGGCAGAAATGCAGGTGGAGGTGCTTCAGGCAGAGGTAACAGCCCTTAAGGCTTTGGTAATCACCTCAACACCAGCTGCTCCTAATCCTCACCTCCACCCACAGCTCATCAGTAAGAGTGTTGCAGAAACAGGTAGGATGTGCTTTCTGTGATGTGTGGAGAACTTTCATAAAGCTTTGTTCAGTAGAGATATTGGTACTGTAATGCAGTTTTGTGTGTGAAAAATTTAGATTATAGATTGTAGCTATGAAGAGCCCATTACATGAACATATTGCTGATAGTATTAGTGCAGCTATTGTCAATTTTAATTTATATATTGTGATTTCTGTAATTTTTTTATTTGCTATCACTGCATATTCTAACAAGGAATGTGGTTATATACTGTAAATAGAATGTTTGTAAAATGAGATAAATGTATATTACAAAGTAATTTTTTTTTTTGAACATTTCAGGTAAAAAAATATTCCAAAGAGGTCATCGCAAATCTCCATCAGACTTTGACCTTAAATATGGGCGGGATACCACTCCCCCAAGTTCTCCACTAAAAGAAAGTCGAATCAATGATGCAGCAGCTCTCTCTCAATTTCCATTGGATCCTGAGTGTTGGGAGGTATGTGTCTGTCCTTGGAACTATAACTTTTATTATACAGTGGACCCCCGGTTAACGATTTTAATCCGTGCAAGAGGGCTCATCGTTATGCGAAATAATCGTTATGCGAATGAATTTTCCCCATAAGAAATAATGGAAATAAAATTAATCCGTGCAAGACGCCCAAAAGTATGAAAAAAATTTTTTTTTACCACATGAAATGTTAATTTTAATACACACAAACTGAAAAAGGCATGCACAATTAAATGACACTTACTTTTATTGAAGATCTGGTGATGATTGATGGGATGGGAGGAGGGGAGAGCATTATCTTCTTACTGTTTAGAAGGGGAATCCCCTTCCATTACGACTTGAGGTAGCAAGTCCTTTTCCGGGTTACTTCCCTTCTTCTTTTAATGCCACTAGGACCAGCTTGAGAGTCACTGGACCTCTGTCGCACAACAAATCTGTCCATAGAGCTCTGTACCTCCCGTTCCTTTACGATTTGTCTAAAATGGGCCACAACATTGTCATTGAAATAGTCACCAGCACGGCTTGCAACAGCTGTGTCAGGGTGATTTTCATCTATAAAGGTTTGCAGTTCAACCCACTGTGCACACATTTCCTTAATCTTTGAAGTAGGCACAATGGATTCCACAACTGGCATAGGCTTCTCAGGGTTAGCCCCAAACCCTTCAAAATCTTTCTTAATTTCCATACTAATTCTCACCCTTTTTACCACAGGGTTGGCACTAGAAGCTTTCTTGGGGCCCATGGTCACTTATTTTCCAGAAACAGCACCGAAAACACTGTAATAATACGAAATATTCCGAGTGTATGCTTGGATGTTACCGCGGAGGCTGGCTGGTAAACAATGGGACGGCCGGCACATGTGAGGCTGGCTGAGGGCACATTGGACGCGTCTCGGACGAAAATCGGTAAGCGGGTTTTTAATCGGTATGCGCGGCAAAAATTTTGCGATAAAAGTAATCGTTATGCGGAAAAATCGCTATGTGATGCCATCGTTATGCGGGGGTCCACTGTATTAAATTTTACTCTTATTACTGCACTCACATGCCAAGATGTTATGCTGGAAACAGTTTTGTCTGTTGTGATAAATTGTTTTTAATAAGCTTTTTTACCTATTTCTTTTTCAAAGCATAAGTAGGTAATAACATCGAATTAGTCTTTCAAATTAAAGTGCTTGGCTGTACTTGTTGAAAAGTGTCGAGGTATAGATGTGTGAAAATAAAAAGAATTCCAGGAAAATAAGTGATATCTTCATCTAGTATGAAATAAGTTTCAAAATGCTTATATAGTGCTGTAAACTTCTGTATTGTGCTTACATAACATATTATATTGTCCTAGGAATATAAACAATAGATTTTCATTATTATATATTCCTTTGGTCACAGAAGTCTGGGGTCATCTTCTTTGTTAAGGATAACACTTATATAATACAGTATAAGCAGTTTCCAGCAGTTCTTTTGGTGTAAATGGTCAATTTGGAAATGTGTTGAGCTCAGCTTAAATAAGTATTGTAATTTTTTCTGCTTCAGGTGGATCCAGTTGTACATAAAGAATTTATTGCTTGGAAACAGAATCCAACCTTAGATCGCTCAGATCCATTCATGCAGCGGATATACGAAGAAGATATAGATCTGTGTCTAGCATTTCCAAATTCAATGTTGGCACATCGTGTTCAAAGGGCCATAGAAGATAATGCTGTGTTTATTGAAGAAGTTAACCCACGGCAAAAAAGTAGTTGTCCTAGGTAAGTTCCTGGTTCGTGTGGGCGGACTGTAAATAGCAGTCTTAAGTGCATGGTGATATAGTACCAATTATTTGATTTTATATTAATTATTTTTTAAAACATTAAATAAGCCAAGGATCAGGGTTATACAGAATAGTGTATACAATTTTTCTTCATTACAGTCATGTTGTCTAAGATAAAATTTTAATGTAGTGTGATGCAACATTTAGATTACTTTTTGATATCAAACATTTATATAACTAGGGTTGAAAGTGATCATTATTTTTGCTATAAAGCCTGAATGAAAAACTGATGTAAACATGGGAGGACAGTGAGGCTTTATATTTTGACCTTTTGACTGGAAAAATGCTAAGAAACTTGAATATTACTCTTTTTGTAAATATTGTTTTAATTCATGTGCTGATGAAGACTGTATTGTAAAAACATACTAGTTTGTTTTGCCTTAAAATAGTGACTGTATTATAAAAAAAAAACTACAGTGGACCCTCAACCAGTGGCATTAATCCGTTCCAGAGGGCTTGCCGTTTGTCGAAATTACCGTTGGTCGAATTAATTTTCCCCATAAGAAATAATGGAAATAGAATTAATCCGTTACTGACACCTCAAAGTCTGAATTTTTTTTTTTTTTTTTACATGAAATATACATTTCCTTATATGGAAAGGAATGGGACATGCAAAATAAACAATAATTAAATACCACTTACCTTTATTGTGGAGTTGTTGATGAGTGATGTGCCAGCAGCAGGGGAAATTCAGAATTGTCTATTGCTTGGAAGGAGAATCCCCTTCCAGAAGGACTTTAGGTACCAAGTCCTTTCGTGGGGTTACTCCCTCCTTGGTTTTTTTAATGCCACTAGGACCAGCTTGAGAGTCACTGGACCCCTGTCGCACAAAATAGCTGTCCAGAGAGCTCTGTTTCTCACGTGCCCTTAGGATTTCCCTAAAATTGGACACGAGTGTCATTGTACATGTTGCCAATGCAGCTTGCAACTTCGGTGACAGGATAAAATTCTTCGATAAATGCTTGCACATTTGTAAACATTGAACACATTTCCCTAATCCTTGAAGAACATTCCTGAGATGTGATCTGTTGCTGTTGCTGCTGAAGCTCTTGCAGGTCTGCAGTGGTTAGTTCTTCCTCGTCATTCTGCACCAACTCTTCCACATCCTCGTCACAAACCTCCAACCCCAAGGACTTCCCCAATGACACAATAGCTTCCACTACCGGCATAGCCTCCTGAGGGTTAGCCCCAAACCCTTCAACATCCCTCTGTTCTACACGTTCTGGCCACAGTTTCCTCCAAGCAGAGTTCATGGTCCTCTTAGTCACTCCCTCCCAAGCCTTACCTATAAGGTTTACACAACTGAGGATATTAAAGTGATCTTTCCAAAACTGTCTTAGGGTCAATTGAGTGTCTGAGGTCACTTCAAAGCACTTTTGGAACACTGCTTTTTGTATATAGTTTTTTTTCTGGTCCATGAGCTGGAGGAGAAGAGTTGTATTAGAAGGCAAAAACTTCACCTTAACGAAACCAAACTCCCCTGCAATTTTCTTTTGCAAGTTGTGAGGATGAGCAGGAGCATTGTCCATTACCAGGAGGAAGTTGAGTGGCAATTTCTTTTCCTGGAGGTATTTTGTCACAGTGGGGCCAAAAATACCCTAGTGATCCATACCTTACTGTTTGATCTCCACAGCACATACAAATTGCCCTTGACGATATTGTTTTTCCCGGAACACTGGGAGTTTCAGAGTGATACACCAATAAAGGCTTCACTTTGCAATTGCCACTAGCATTACTACACAACATTAATGTCAGCCTGTCTTTCATAGGCTTATGTCCTGGGAGTGCCTTTTCCTCCTGAGTAATGTAGGTCCTGTTTGGCATTTTCTTCCAAAACAGGCCTGTTTTGTCACACTTTAAATATTTGTTCAGGTTTTAAGTTTTCAGTCTATTTTTTTTTTTTTTTATCACACTGGCCGATTCCCACCAAGGCAGGGTGGCCCGAAAAAGAAAAACTTTCACCATCATTCACTCCATCACTGTCTTGCCAGAAGGGTGCTTTACACTACAGTTTTTAAACTGCAACATTAACACCCCTCCTTCAGAGTGCAGGCACTGTACTTCCCATCTCCAGGACTCAAGTCCGGCCTGCCGGTTTCCCTGAATCCCTTCATAAATGTTACTTTGCTCACACTCCAACAGCATGTCAAGTATTAAAAACCATTTGTCTCCATTCACTCCTATCAAACACGCTCACGCATCCCTGCTGGAAGTCCAAGCCCTCGCACACAAAACCTTTACCCCTCCCTCCAACCTTTCCTAGGCCGACCCCTACCCCGCCTTCCTTCCACTACAGACTGATACACTCTTGAAGTCATTCTGTTTCGCTCCATTCTCTCTACATGTCCGAACCACCTCAACAACCCTTCCTCAGCCCTCTGGACAACAGTTTTGGTAATCCCGCACCTCCTCCTAACTTCCAAATACGAATTCTCTGCATTATATTCACACCACACATTGCCCTCAGACATGACATCTCCACTGCCTCCAGCCTTCTCCTCGCTGCAACATTCATCACCCACGCTTCACACCCATATAAGAGCATTGGTAAAACTATACTCTCATACATTCCCCTCTTTGCCTCCAAGGACAAGTTCTTTGTCTCCACAGACTCCCAAGTGCACCACTCACTCTTTTTCCCTCATCAATTCTATGATTCACCTCATCTTTCATAGACCCATCCGCTGACATGTCCACTCCCAAATATCTGAATACGTTCACCTCCTCCATACTCTCTCCCTCCAATCTGATATTCAATCTTTCATCACCTAATCTTTTTGTTTCCTCATAACCTTACTCTTTCCTGTATTCACCTTTAATTTTCTTCTTTTGCACACCCTACCGAATTCATCCACCAATCTCTGCAACTTCTCTTCAGAATCTCCCAAGAGCACAGTGTCATCAGCAAAGAGCAGCTGTTTACAACTCCCACTTTGTGTGTGATTCTTTATCTTTTAACTCCACGCCTCTTGCCAAGACCCTCGCATTTATTCTCTTACAACCCCATCTATAAATATATTAAAACAACCACGGTGACATCACACATCCTTGTCTAAGGCCTACTTTTACTGGGAAAAAATTTCCCTCTTTCCTACATACTCTAACTTGAGCCTCACTATCCTCGTTAAAAAACTCTTCACTGCTTTCAGTAACCTACCTCCTACACCATACACTTGCAACATCTGCCACATTGCCCCCATATCCACCCTGTCATACGCCTTTTCCAAATCCATAAATGCCACAAAGCCCTCTTTAGCCTTATCTAAATACTGTTCACTTATATGTTTCACTGTAAAAACCTGGTCCACACACCCCGTACCTTTCCTAAAGCCTCCTTGTTCATCTGCTATCCTATTCTCCGTCTTACTCTTAATTCTTTCAATTTTATAACTCTACCATACACTTACCAGGTATACTCAACAGACTTATCCCCCTATAATTTTTGCACTCTCTTTTATCCCCTTTGCCTTTATACAAAGGAACTATGCATGCTCTCTGCCAATCCCTAGGTACCTTACCCTCTTCCATACATTTATTAAATAATTGCACCAACCACTCCAAAACTATATCCTCACCTGCTTTTAACATTTCTATCTTTATCCCATCAATCCCGGCTGCCTTACCCCCTTTCATTTTACCTACTGCCTCACGAACTTCCCCACACTCACAACTGGCTCTTCCTCACTCCTACAAGATGTTATATCCTCCTTGCCCTATACACGAAATCACAGCTTCCCTATCTTCATCAACATTTAACAATTCCTCAAAATATTCCCTCCATCTTCCCAATACCTCTAACTCTCCATTTAATAACTCTCCTCTCCTATTTTTAACTGACAAATCCATTTGTTCTCTAGGCTTTCTTAACTTGTTAATCTCACTCCAAAACTTTTTCTTATTTTCAACAAAATTTGTTGATAACATCTCACCCACTCTCTCATTTGCTCTCTTTTTACATTGCTTCACACTCTCTTAACCTCTCTCTTTTTCTCCATATACTCTTCCCTCCTTGCATCACTTCTACTTTGTAAAAACTTCTCATATGCTAACTTTTCTCCCTTACTACTCTCTTTACATCATCATTCCACCAATCGCTCCTCTTCCCTCCTGCACCCACTTTCCTGTAACCACAAACTTCTGCTGAACACTCTAACACTACATTTTTAAAACCTACCCCATACCTCTTCGACCCCATTGCCTATGCTCTCATTAGCCCATCTATCCTCCAATAGCTGTTTATATCTTACCCTAACTGCCTCCTCTTTTAGTTTATAAACCTTCACCTCTCTCTTCCCTGATGCTTCTATTCTCCTTGTATCCCATCTATCCTTTTACTCTCAGTGTAGCTACAACTAGAAAGTGATCTGATATATCTGTGGCCCCTCTATAAACATGTACATCCTGAAGTCTGACTCAACAGTCTTTTATCTACCAATACATAATCCAACAAACTACTGTCATTTCGCCCTACATCATATCTTGTATACTTATTTATCCTCTTTTTCTTAAAATATGTATTACCTATAACTAAACCCTTTCTATACAAAGTTCAATCAAAGGGCTCCCATTATCATTTACACCTGGCACCCCAAACTTACCTACCACACCCTCTCTAAAAGTTTCTCCTACTTCAGCATTCAGGTCCCCTACCACAATTACTCTCTCACTTGGTTCAAAGGCTCCTATACATTCACTTAACATCTCCCAAAATCTCTCTCTCTCCTCTGCATTCCTCTCTTCTCCAGGTGCATACACGCTTATTATGACCCACTTCTCGCATCCAACCTTTACTTTAATCCACATAATTCTTGAATTTACACATTCATATTCTCTTTTCTCCTTCCATAACTGATCATTTAACATTACTGCTACCCCTTCCTTTGCTCTAACTCTCTCAGATACTCCAGATTTAATCCCATTTATTTCCCCCCACTGAAACTCTCCTACCCCCTTCAGCTTTGTTTCGCTTAGGGCCAGGACATCCAACTTCTTTTCATTCATAACATCAGCAATCATCTGTTTCTTGTCATCTGCACTACATCCACGCACATTTAAGCATCCCAGTTTTATAAAGTTTTTCTTCTTCTCTTTTTTTAGTAAATGTCTACAGGAGAAGGGGTTACTAGCCCATTGCTCCCGGAATTTTAGTCGCCTCATACGACACTCATGGCTTACGGAGGAAAGATTCTTTTCCACTTCCCCATGGACAATAGAAGAAATAAAGAAGAACAAGAGCTATTTAGAAAAAGGGGAAAAACCTAAATGTATGTATATATATATGCATGTGCATGTCTGTGAAGTGTGACCAAAGTGTAAGCTGGAGTAGCAAGATATCCCTGTTATCTAGCGTGTTTATGAGACAGAAAAAGAAACCAGCAATCCTACCATCATGCAAAACAGTTACAGGTTTTTGTTTCACAGTCATCTGGCAGGACGGTAGTACTTCCCTGGGTGGTTGCTGTCTACCAACCTACCTCCTGAGTAATGTAGGTCCTGTTTGGCATTTTCTTCCAAAACAGGCCTGTTTTGTCACAATTTAAATATTTGTTCAGGTTTTAGGTTTTCAGTCTATATATTCCTTAAAGTCCTTCACATATTTTTCAGCCCCATTTTTGTCTGAACTGGCTGCCTCACCATACCTTACCACACTGTGCATGCCACTATGAATCTTAAACCTCTCAAACCAGCCTTTGCTGGCCTTAAATTCATCAGCAGCAGCACTATTTTGAGGCATTTTCTTAATTGAGATCATCATGCAACTTCCATGCCTTTTCACAAATTATAGACCGAGAAACACTATCACCTGATAATTGTTTTTCGTTTATCCATACCAATAACAGTCTCTCTACCTCTTCAACTATTTGTGGTCTCCGTTTTGAAAGCATACTTGAACTTTTCGCAGCAACAGCTTCCTTGATTGCCTGTCTGTTCGCCAAGATAGTACTGATGGTTGAATGTGATTTGTTGTATTGCCTTTCCAACTCAGCCATACGCACTCCACTCTTGTATTTTTCAATGATCTCCTCCTTCATTTCCATTGTAATTCTCACCCTTTTTAACACAGGCTTGGCACTAGAAGCTTTCTTGGGACCCATGGTGGCTTATTTAGCAGTTACAAGCACTAGAAATAGTGGAATAATCCAAAATATATGGGAGGCACAATTGGAAACTGACCACAACAGCTTGTAAACAATGGCACACTGACTCTTGGAGTGGCTGGGTCCACTCAGGCTGCACTCCGGGCACATCGACACATTCCAGACAAACGTTGTTGGTTAAGTTTTCGCCGTTGGTTAAGGCATTTTTTCTACAGCAAAAAGCGCCGTTAGACAAAATTGCAGTTACTTAATGCCGTCGTTAGTTGAGGGTCGACTGTAGTTTGTTCTTCCTTACAATAAAGTAATGGAATTGATGAAGTACATTCCATGTTTTTTCAATTATTAGCATTATTATATTCATGGGGAAGCAGTAAATTAGTGTGTGTTATACAGTAACTAGGGACCTTTCCTCCAAGTTTCATTTATGTGTGTGGGGACAAAAGTGTGAACACATATACTGCATATATGAAAAATATATACATATTAAAATGTTGTACACTAATATGGTGTGTATTAATTATTAGGCATCTCATTCAGGTGTACCCCATGCCACTGTCATGTTCATTTCTTTACCAGGTTTCCAAGAACTTAAAATGTTTCTATGCATTGATTGAAATCTTAAAACAATTGTGAACATAAAAAAAAGAACAAGGTGATGAGGGTAACAAAAAGTCTAGCAATGATAGATTGAATATCGGATTGGAGGGAGGGAGTATGAAGGAAGTGGATGTATGTAGATGTTTTAGAGTATATAAATCAGTGGATGGACTTATCTCTGGAAGCAGAGGGAATATACAAGAGAATAGTGGTACTAACACTTTTGTGTGTGTGTGCGCGCATGTGTGAAGATGGGTTCAGAATGCTGCAGTGAGGAGGAGGCCAAAGGTAGTGGAGATATTTTTGACAGCAATGTGAATATTATGTAGAGAATTTGGAAAGTAGAAAAAAATGTGCAGTCACCAAGGGCATAATTCTGAGGGCTGAGTAGAGATGGTTGAGGTGGTTTGGGTATGTAGAGAAGGTGGAGAAGGATAGGATGACTAAGAGGGGTGTATAAATCTTGGGGATGGAAAGCAAGTGGGATAGAGGATGTCCCAGGAAGAGTTGGAACGAGGGAGTAAAGTAGGTTCTTGAGTTTTAGGGGCTTGAGTATTTGATAGGTGTGTATGAGCATGTTAGATAGGGACAATTGGAGACAAGTGAGTTTTAATGGACGTGCTGCTGGAGTGAGAGCAAGGTAACTTTTATGAAGGGATTCAGGAAAACCAGTTAGCCGGATTCAAGTCCTGGAAGTGGGAAGGGCAGTGCCTGCACTCTGAAGGAGGGGTAGGGATGTTGCAGTCAGGGGGTAATCTGAGTTGTGATATCAGAAGGCTTCTGGCAGACAGCGATTGAATAAATATTGGAGAATGTGTTTCCTTTCTTTGGGCTAGACCCTGCCTTGGTGAAAGATAGCCACTGAGGTAAAAAAAAAAAAACTTGTTCCTACCTTCCAGAGTTAGCTAGAAAAATGAAAATTCTGGGTGGATTGGTTGTGGTGAAGGTAAACTATCTTGTAAGTCGGAGAGTTGTGGAAACTAAGCTAAAATAAATGTATTATAGAATTGATTTAATGTAGTAAACTAGTTGCTTTTGGTTGCTGCTGGAGGCAACTACCATGGGCAGAAGTTAAATTGTGTACCCTTTCAGCAAATCATGATTCCATTATGTAGAACACTTGCACCTTGAACACCACTTTTTAATCTTTGTACCTTTCTAAGTGATCTTCAGAAAGTATGATTTTACTTATACATAGTGTAGGGTATTGACAGTACTCTCCTTTTATGCACTATTTTTTTCCTCCTAACCTTCTAGCATGTGGCTTCTGGGGTAATACTCCTCCATTGCCAGATATTCTTGTGTTTCATACCAAGGATTTCATGACTGAGTCATATATTTGATAGCTATATCAGCAGGTAGAACTTTTTAAGCAAATGCTGCTTATTGTCTTAGTACCATAAAGAATAAAAAGGCACAATACCGTGATTGGAGCAATACACAAATAACCTGCACACGACATTTCATTCCAATGACATTTTATTCCAACTTGGAGCATTAGTTAGTATGTGACTGGTTAATGGTCCAAATTGGACCGAAACGTCGTCATAGGTTTTTCTCCTATGTGTGGGTTATTTGTGAACCATAAATACTGTACTCAAGATAATTAAAAGATATGATGTAGGGAAATGGTCGATTAAATATTAGGCCACTTGACATACTTGAAGAGAATATTAAATAATAAATAAACAGCTAAAAATATGCATACTACAGCTGTAGTGTGGAATCTGAAATATAGTCGATGACCTTTTAAATAATTAACAGGTGCTCTTAGATACATTGCTAGAAAACCTTATGTTCTAAGAAATTTATGTGTAACATTTGTAAATAATCATTGAGCACAATCCTTAATGAGATCCTGTGTATGATCTTTTTCAGAGTTGACCCCGATGAAACCAGGTTACTATTAGTTTCATCTTGTTGTTTAGCTTTTTAACCATCCATGCATATCCCTGACCCTCCTGCTCTGAATGTTGTATGAACAGTGAATTGCACTAATGACAGAGTCCTTTGGTTCTGCATTTGTGAAAACAATAGCATTTTGACTGTATGAACGTAAATCATTATTACCGTATAATTATTTGTATAACTTGTGTATAGTTGTATTTTTTTTTTTATTCTTGCCTATCATTATATCTTAGTATGCATCATACAGTCCCTTATCCAGAATTCCAATCAAGAATGTAATTTTAGAGCTGATAGTCCCTTAAAGCATGAAGTTTGCATTTGCAAGACACCCTGTTTGATCCCTTTAATAAATCCTCGGCTATTTTTTAAAAGTAGCAAGTGATATTTGCCTGTGAATGAATTACAGTACTAGGCTCATGTAGGTCAATAGCTTAGTACTGTTGAATGAAATGTTTAGTTATTTATTATAATTATTAGACTAAATGTGGCTTTTATTAATTAGATATTATGAAACTGATGACAAATTTGAATAAAGGAATTTGATTAAATTTAATAGACAAGATTCACTTTTATAAATCTTTGGCATTAGTGCTTTGAGTATCTGAAAATGTATTGCATTGTATTTGATAATTAACAAAGTTCAGAGTACTTTGATAGGTACTATGAAAATAATTGTCAAGTAAATGTAATTTAGTGTACTGTATTGGCATTTGTGATAAACTGTACAGTATTCTGACATAAATAGCAACACCTTGCTATAAATACAAGGTGCAGCATTTTAAATTATTAGTTAAAAATGGGAAAATTTTTGGGCTACTACACCATATTGTGCATGTGTGTACTTGTAGCCAGACATGGTTGGATTGGTCTTAGTTGCTGCAGTGTTAACATTACTAGTTACTGTCTTGTGCAGGCTTTTTAACTAAGCTAGTTTTTTCTTGCTTAGGAGTTACACAGCAGAGATAGGAATATAGTTTATATACTGTACAGTACAGGAAGTCACCAAATTACAAATGCCACAAGTTACAAAAATCTGTACTTACAACTGAGGCGCTTAGGAACCACAGTACGAACTTACATGAAACAGTCATCTCTTGTACCGTTGTTTTCTAAACACTTGACTCATTTGTAAGTTGAAAATATAGAATGCAACTTGGTTGTAAGTTGGGGGCTCTCCTGTATCAATATTTTATAGCTGTCTTGCAAGTATTAATACTAGGAGATTAAACTAGTAATACTTGTTCCATGTAAATATCAAATATTGATTTTTTACATTTGTGCAGAAAGTGTGTGCTGTTAGATGTTCCTCGCTTCTGCAAGTACCGGTTTCGACTTGGGGAATCTGATGACTGGTATTATATCTCACAGCTGGCCAGAAATAGGGTAAGACAAATCCTTTTTCCAGTGTGATCTAATTTTAATTGCAGTTTAGAATACAATATCCTGCTACTTTCATGAATGTAGCTATTACACCCTGTATCTTATAATTATTGACCTTCCTATCTATACTTCTCACTCAACTGCTGTGTTTGCACTGTACTACTAATTCCAAATATTAAACTCCTTTGACACTCCTCCACTACTTCACTTACTTCATTCTTATAGCCTATTGCATTTTGTTACTTTATAGTGCAGAGAAAAATATTTCAAAACATTTATTTTTATTGCCATTTACTGTGCCTTTAACCTCTTAGCAGTGAGTGAGGAATTCATTCATATTCTTTAGTTTTTTGTTACCCTTTTTTGTTGCTAATTCTGAATTATCAGCATTGCAGGAATTTTTGTTTATCATTTCTTTGAATTTTATAATCTTTGTGACACAAATAAATGTAAAAAATTATACTATGTATACATTATGTATCAACATCTTGTTTTAATTTACTCTTAATTCTGTCACCACAATCTTCTAGTGAATATAGTCATTTTAAAGTTGATAAAAAGGATTTGGGAACTGTTACCATTTCTTGGTTTAACTTTAATGTGTTGGTAATTTGGTCTTTACATAGTCATGTTATCCCAGTTATTATTAGCTAAGCTAGGAACTAACACTTGCAGGAGTTCAGATAGATGTCTTGCCTTACCATCTCCTGGGTCCTAGCATGCATTATCTTTACTCTTTCATGTGCTTCTCAATCCTTTCACTGTTTCTTACATAAATCTGTCATTGACACCAATGTCATTCATGTAGATCTGCATTTTAAGCACAGTTCTTTCATATATGCTTGTCAGCAGTAAACTTTGGCCTAGACATGAGGGAATAAGTGTGGGGTGAGCATTCACAGTATTAAAAAATTCTGCCCAATACAGTGCATGATGGGAAAAACAAATCTCTAACCTTGTGTTTGGTTTAAAATAGCATCTTTGAGCTGTCTTTTAGGGTAGTTTTTATGGTTTTATTGGCTGACTCTTGGTATCACTTGATAGAATGGAAGATACTAGTAAAGTAGTGATTTTGGTCAGTTTTAAACCAGAAGTAGCTTGAAATAGGGCTCAAAGAGACAAAAATATTCAACTTTTGGTAATTTTCCCTAGGAAGGTTAGGGAAGGCTCTAGCCCCCTGGGTCTGTTTTATGGGGTTACACCAGGTCTGCTTCAGTTATTGGGACAACCTAAACCATGACCAATTATTGTTGGTTATATTTTATTAATCTGAGAAGTAGGGTAAGCTTCCATTTTTTGTGACGATTAATTCAAAATGGAGGGTAAGTGTTATGTTGGAAGAGCTGGGGACATGAGTATTGAACAGTGGAAAGGTTGCGTTAGTGTCTGGAATCCCTAGTGTTTAATATTGTTTTAATGTCACCTTTGCACCATTTATAACATTTTTAGTATATTTTTCAATGTTTATACAGTAGTGTACTGTATATTGTAACAAACAGAATAGAGGAAATAGCTCTAATATACATTATTTACATATGCATATTGGTCAGAGATCCCGTTGTAAGTCCGAGTTGTCGCTAAGTGAAGAGAGGCTGTATTGTCTAAAACTGGCCAAATTATTGATTCTGTGCACATTATAGGATAGTTCTGATAATTAAATGGGTGGTTTCTTGTTCTTACTAATGAAATAACTAGGAACTGGGTTGACTTGAACTTGGAACTGGACTCAAAATGGGTGAAATCAACAATGTCAACTTTGGGCTTGCGTAATTCCGTCCATCAGATTTTTGCATTTTTTGTGTCATTACCTTCAGAAAAAAGTATAATTTCATAAGATAAAATTAATACATCCATCCATCTCTCTCTCTCTCTCTCTGTCTGTCTGTCTGTCCCTCTCTCTTTCTCTCTCTCTCTGTCTCTCTCTCCTTCTCTCTCTCTCTCTCTCTGTCTCTCTCTGTCTCCTCTCTCTCTCTCTCTCTGTCTCTGTCTCTCTCTCTCTCTGTCTCTGTCTCTCTCTCTCCTTCTCTCTGTCTCTCTCTCTGTCTCTCTCTCTCTTCTCTCTTCTCTCTCTCTCTCTCTGTCTCTGTCTTTGTCTCTCTCTGTCTCTCTCTCTCTCTGTCTCTCTGTCTCTTTTTTTTTTTTTACACAGGGTTTGACAAGGTTAAGGATCCCTAGCTTTATTGACAGCTATTTACAGGTTAAGGATTCCTAACTTTTTGGCAAGCTAAGAGCTGTTACCTACATCACTCATTTGAAAGCATTTTTATTGTTATGAGACATACAAGTAGGGAACAGGATGAAGTTGGAGCCATCTGTGGGCCAGCATTTTCATTTATCAACTGACTTTTTCTCGTTGACATCATTATGCTGTACGAATGTGTTCCATATCGAGTCATCTGGGGATGTATGAATCTCAGATGGAGTGATGTTCTGGAGAAGGGTACGCCAGAGTGAAGTTGCTGCTTCTGCCCGTCTTGGTGGCATAAAAGCTTGTTTCCGCGGTCCTCGAAGTGGATCCAAGTGTGGTATTTTGATAATATTGGCCTTGTACATAACAGTAAGGCCACCCACATCCTCCTATGTGAAGGCTCTGCTGAAATGACAGTCTATCCAGGATGGGTCCCAGGCGAGAGATGAACGTTTGCTCTGTTTTTCTACTCTGTCAAGCATCGCAGATAGAAGGGGGGCAGGCAAACCAAGAAAGTGGAGCATACTCAAGGTGTGAGCGTACTTGTGCCTCGTACAGGATTTTTGCAACCCCTACTGTCAAGCAGATGGAGATATGGCGAAGTGCTCTAAGCTTCCTGGGTGCCTTGTTTGCAAGATTTTACAACGGGTTCTTCATGGTTAGTTTGGAGTCAAATTTCACCCCAAGGATATCAACTTCTTCTCCAGGTGCCAACATCCTCCCATTCATCCTTACTACTGCACCAGCATTACCATCATGGTGCCTAGAGACGATCATCATTTGCGTTTTCTCAGGTGCAAATGTTACTTGCCATCTATTTTCCCAAGCTGATATAGCTCTCAGCTGGTGATTGATGTAGCTTAGAGCAGCTGGCATTTCTTCTCTTGGATAAGTGAATGTCAGTGTACAGTCGTCTGCATATGCATGTGATTCTGGGATGAGATGAAGAAGGTCGTTGAAGTAGACATTCCTCTGCAAAAACAGTGATAATGTGTGAGTGTGGTGAAAGTGTTGAATGATGATGAAAGTATTTTCTTTTTGGGGATTTTCTTTCTTTTTTGGGTCACCCTGCCTCGGTGGGAGACGGCCGACTTGTTGAAAAAAAAAATATATATAATTTTTTTTTTTTAAGTTAACCCTTTCATGTCAGTGAAAGGGTTAAATATTATTCCTGTAATATTCCTTTTTAAAGTCAGGAGGCCTGGTCTATGAGCAAATTCATTGGATAGTGATCATCTTGGGGTCCACTTTGTCAAGAAGTTACTTCCTTATCTCTGTGACTCTTTTAAAGTGTTCATTTTCCATTTTTGTCCTGTTTCCCCTCCCCTTGCAATTTTTATCCACCTATTTGATAGCTTAAGAAAGAATGGGGCATCAGTGAATGTAGAATCAAAATCTTTTGTTCCTACAAATATATGTAGTAGGTTGGTAGACAGCAACCACCCAGGGAAGTACTACCGTCCTGCCAGATGACTGTGAAACAAAAACCTGTAACTGTTTTGCATGATGGTTTGGATTGCTGGTTTCTTTTTCTGTCTCATAAACACGCTAAGATAACAGGGATATCTTGCTACTCCTACTTACACTTTGGTCACACTTCACAGACACGCACATGCATATATATATATACATACATCTAGGTTTTTTATTTATTTCATATGTCGGACTTGAGTCCTGGGAAAAGGAAGTACAATGCCTGCACTTAAAGGAGGGTTTGGGATATTGGCAGTTTGGAGGGATATGTTTGTGTATCTTTATATGTTTATGCTTCTAACTGTTGTATTCTGAGCACCTCTGGGAAAAACAGTGATAATGTGCGAGTGTGGTGAAAGTGTTGAATGATGTGAAAGTATTTTCTTTTTTGGGGATTTCTTTCTTTTTGGGTCACCCTGCCCCGGTGGGGGACGGCCGACTTGTTGAAAAAAAAAAAAAAAAAAAAAAAAAATCTAGGTTTTTCTCCTTTTTCTTTTAAAAAGCTCTTGGTTCTTTTTTATTTCTTCTATTGTCCATGGGGAAGTGGAAAAGAATCTTTCTCCGTTTAAACATCGTGTCGTATGAGGCGACTAAAATGCGGGAGCAATGGGCTAGTAACCCTTCTTTCCCGTATACAATTACTAAAAAAGAAAGAAAAAAACTTTATAAAACTGGGTTTCTTAAATTGCTGGATGTAGTGCGGGATGGGCAAGTAAACAATGATGCTGATGTTATGAATGAAAAGAAGTTGGAAAGTCCTGACCTAAGCGAACAAAGCTGAAAGGGGTAGGAGGTGTTTCGTGGGGGGAAAATAAATGGGATTAAATCTGGAGTATTGAGAAGTTAGACAAAGGAAGGGGTAGCAGTAAATTTTAAATGATAGTTAAAGGAAGGGGAAAAGAAATATGAATTGTAAATCAAGAATTATGTTGATTAAAGTAAAGGTTGGATGCAAATGGGGCATAATAAGGTTTTAATGCACCTGGAAAGAGAGGAATGCGAGGAAGAGAGAGATTTTGGGAGATGTTAAGTGAAATTTTAGGACCTTTGAACCAAGTGAAGGAGTAATTGTGGTAGGGGAATTGACTGCTAAAGTAGGAAAACTTTTAGAGAGGGTGGGTTAAAGGGAAGTTTTTGGGGTGCCAGGTGTAAATGATAATGGGGCCCTTTGATTTAACTTTGATAGAAATGGGGTTAAATTAAGGTATACATATTTAAGAAAAAGAGGATAAAAAAGTATAAACGATAGATGTAGGGAAATGACAGTAAATTTGGGGATTATGTATTGGAATAAAAGACTGTTGAAATAGACTTTCAGGGTGTACATGTTTATAGAGGGCCA